TCGATGGTGGATCACGACGACATCTGGTGCAAGAATATGAAAACCTTTAAAGTTTTCAATCAGGTTCTTTTGTCCCTAGAGAAAGAAAGACAGAACGAAAGTTGTAGAGAGAGAAAATGATAAAATGAAGAGAAAAGCTTAAGAGTAGGCTTTTATAGGATCAGTAAAATGGTGTCATTTTGGCTAAGGAAATCGGGTTCCCTTTGACCCGTTTCAAGGATCCGCACGTCAAACATTGAGCGATTTGACCCAGCTGCTCAGCCCGATCTTCTGTTCCAGTCCAGCTTCACACCATTTGAGCTCCAAGTCGAGCCGTGGTGATTTTTTGGAGCCAAGTCACGAATTATTTTAGTTATTCTTTGTCCATTTTTATCATTTTTGTGATTATTTGTTATTTTTTTTGAATGAGTAAAAAGGGATAAATGAATAAAAAAAATTTTTCAAAAAAATATTTTTAAAAAAAAGTTGAAAATATTAATTTTTTTTGAAAATAAATTTTTCAAAAAAAATTATTTTAAATTTCAAAAAAATATTTTTGAGAAAAAGTTGAAAGTATCAATTTTTTTTTAAAATAAAACCTTTTTAAAAAAAATTTCTAAGGAAGAGTTGAAAGTACCAATTTTTCTTTAAAAAAAATATTTTTAAGAAAAAAGTTGATAGTATCAATTTTCCTTGAAAATAAAATTATTCAAAAAATATTTTAAAGAAAAGTTGAAAGTATCAATTTTTCTTGAAAATAAAAAAATAAAAAAAAAGTATTTTTGAGAAAAAGTTGAAAGTATCAACTTTCCTTAAAAATATAAATTTCAAAAAGATATTTTTGAGAAAAAGTTGAAAGTATCAATTTTTCTTGTATAAAAGCATGAATTTTTTATAAAGTAAAAAAAAAAAAAAAAGAGATCCCCATGAAAGGTTAAGAATTATTTTTTTTTTCTTGGATTTTTTTTATGTTAAATAATTCGACGATAGAACCTCTGTAAGAGAAACAATAGTTTCATTGCATACTCTTGAGGTAAGAAAATTTTTCTTAATTTTTTGTCAAAAGTATTGGAGTTAATTAAGAATAATTTTTAATAATTAATTACTTGATAATTTTTAAGGCTTATTGAATAATACGAAATTAAGCTGGTACTATCTTTTGATGGGCGTTGTGAAGGTACTATAATCTTTCTCACTCGTAACTGAACTTCCGAACCTTCTTATGGTTAATAGATCCGAACATATTCTTTTAGGGACCCTCAGTTAAGCTTAGGTATTCCTTGAAAGAATAGATTCTTTAGGTGACCAATCACACCTGAACAAAAAAAATTAATTTTGACTCCTTAAGTCAATGTCTAGCGATAGGTCTATGGATCTAAACATTATGACAGAGGAGAGAGATAGGTAAGACAGATATCGAAATTAAGGGTAAACTAACATGCCGTATAAATCATGGAGAAATACTACTTAACTAACCTGCCACCTTCAACTAACCGTTCTGCAACTTTATCCAAAAATCTTGAACCCTTTGACTTCCATGTAGAGCAAATCCCACAAATTCTAGAGCTTTGAACTATGACAGGGAAAAATTAGAGGTAAACACTTATGAACTTAAAATAAATATCTCATCTAAGAACATCTTTTTTTTCATAAAGAGTATCATGAGAATGGAGAAGTTTTTGGAAGTTTTTACCATAATTTTAGTGATGAAGCATTCGATAGTTGTTAAACAGAAGCTATTCAATAAGAAGTGATTTTTATCTAAAGGTAGGTACTAAGGGACAAGGGAGTCAACAGCAAGATATTTCTTTCATATGACCTAAAAGACAAAATGAAAATAGTCACTGGTCATATTCCATTTCTAATTAAAAAGAAAAAAGGGAAGAATGGGGGAAAGAAGTAAATATTCACCTCGAAACCAGCCTTTTTTAGAGGATCTAGGCACTGTCTAGTCAACCTATGTTTGGAAGACCATTATTGATCTTAATTTCTGTTTGTATAAGTAAAACTTTCATGTAAGAACAACTAATGGATACGCAATAAACCAAGGATCATTTTAATGCACTTTAGATTCTCACCTTAATTTTCTAATGTTCTTAGTTATGTGGATCACAAGAATCAGTCATGCACCAATCATACGTAGCAAAACACTAACCAAGCTTTAGTACTTTGTAAATCTCTTTGTAGCATCCATACTACAAAACAGAAATAACAATCAAATCAAATCAAACCAAAACAATTCAATATATGATAAAAACTTCTTAATCCATTCCAGTCGAGATGAAAATAATGATTGAGATGGAAAATTTTAAATTGACATACAGCATCTAGTGCATAGCAGGTATCTTCGATTGCATAAATTACATCAAAGTTGTTGTCAAGAAATGGCATCTTCATAAAGTCAACCTGCATTAGACAACAACAATAAGAAATCAATTATTGAATGCCTTTGCAGTTTTCTTATCAACAATTTTACGACATACAATATTGCACATTTGTGGTTCTCTCATTAGAAACTGTAAACAAATAATCCTATCAATCATTGAAAACCAAAAGACATAAAAAAATCATCTTGGAGTTCAAATTCATCACATAAGGAGAGTTTTTAATTCGATCACCGTGAAGAACTTTCCTAAGATTCTCTACATTGTCAAGTATGTGTTCAAGCTGACAATAGGGTAGGGAATGGGAGGAATAAAGAAGTAGGGATAAAAACCTAAACCCAAAAAGAGAAAATAGAAAAAATATGAAACTCTTTCTATTCACATTCCATTTTTCAGGAACCAAACAAAAAATAAAAAAAAATTAAAATTGAACAAATATATGTTACCGTGTTTGATGGAATAGAGAAAATCCTTGCATGAGAACCACACATTTGAGTTGGTGAAACTGCCTAAGGGCAAGAGAGCATTCAAAAACAAATGGGTGTTCAGGTTCATGAGAAGATTGAACTGACATAAGGTAAGCTCGATGTTTTGGGGAAAACGATTCATAAGATAAGACAAAAATCCTTCAACAGGATAAGAAATTTGAGAGGATCGACGAACCTGAGAGAGGGATCCAGAATCTGAGGAAGCGGCTGGAAGGAAAGCAACTGGGCTAGACTGCTGATCTTCTGGAGTAATCTTCCCCTGGGAAACATAGTGTAATCATCGTTGAGAATTTTATAGTAACACACAAATAAGCAATTCGATAAAGATAATGGACATGATGCTAAAATTAACTAACCTTTTCTCAATAGTAGTATCATCTTCACTCAAATTCTCCTCATTCATTTCATCATCGATATTTCTACTTATGAAAAAATGTGCTTCTCCTCCAGATTTCCCAAGAAACCCAAGAAACCCATTGGGAAGGCTTATTTCTACAATGATATTGAAACAGTAAATAAGTACAAACAAAGAAAATGAATGCATGCATGAGATTTTGATCTCCAAACGCCCTTTAGATCCAAGACAAAATATTAAAAAAAATGAATAAAAGACTTTTGCTTTCAAAGTAGTAAATGCGAGAACTTGTGCATGAAATTCCAAAAAGAAATAAAATTTTCAAGTTTTTTTCTTCCCCTTTTAAGCACATTTTCTGAGTAACCAAACAGAGTCTTGATTAACTGAGAAGAATAAAAAATACATAAGACCAAAACCGCAACAGAAGCTTCCAACATTGTTTAAAACCGAAAAAAGAAAAGCATAATCTTAAAGGAACAACCCAATATCTATAATATATTTAGAAGGATGAGAAGTTAACAAACAAAAGAAAGGAAGAGAGGAAACCTGACTTTGGGTATCTCGAGTCAGGCATCGTTCTTCACAGCCTCAAATCAGAGAAACAAATAAGGATTGGAAAAGTTGATTTAAAAATCGAAAGAGCAGCCCTCGAAAGAGGAGCCAGACCCAAAGTAAAATACAGTTGCTGAGCTCAGCTCTATGGCCCGGCTCGACTCTCCCTCCCTTCCTCCCCTTTACGTCATCTCACATTCCTTCTCATCATTCTCTTTAACTTTGCCTCCTATTTCTTTTTTATTTTTTTTACTGTTTGACTTGAGAGATTTAAAAACTTTAATCTTGGTTTTTTCAATAATGAAATAGATCGATAAGCTTCTGGGAAGTTTTCTATAAAGAGACAAAAATTATCCAAAATTACGCCATTTTTTTTTGTTTACATTGCTATGCTGTCTCCTTCATCACAAATAGGCGATAACTTTTATATTAAGATATATATATATATATATAATATAAGTATGATCCGAACATAAAATGATCCAATATAAATCCATCCGTTTATCACCTATGCCTTTACATATGAATCGTGAATTAAAGCTAATTGATAAATGTATGGAAATGATATATACATGGAACGTAAGTCAACTAAAGTACAATTGTAATTTGGCCAAAAAAAAAAAAGAAGGTACAACTGGATAAAAAATCTTACAGGATTTGGATTTGCTCCACTTAGACCAAAGTTTAAAATTTCCTTGTTTAGTCAAAAAATGATCTTATTATCACCGGCTAGAATTATCTGGACTAAAATCTTATAATTTTAGAAGAAAATGAAAAAAAAAAAAAACCAAAGAAAAAGGATAAGAACAATTATCTCAACCTTTTAGCCATAAATATAGTGGTCAAACCGTTAAAATTGGTAGATTTTATGGATACGGATTTCAATTGCAGAAAAAAAAAATGAGGAGAATGGAAAGAGATTACACAGAAGCCAGTAGTAATCGCAATGTTAGGAGTCTATATATGGAAATTTTCAAAGGTTTGGATTTAACAAAAGATAGAAAAGATAGCTAATGTAATATATATATATATATATATCCTATTTTTGCAACAATGTTGTTAGAATTGAACAAGTTTTTAGGATCCAAGCAGGAGTTGAGCACATATATAAAGCCAAGCTTTTCATCCAGGATCAAGCATAGGGTAGTCGGAGCGTTTTATTCCTTTCCTTTATTCGGTGGTATGCGGGACTTGTGCAGGCAAATTCCTTCGAAAGATTCAAAAGCACAACAAAAAAATCCTCAGTAAATCACCATACAGTAAAGGGAAAAAACTAGCTCCTTATTTACATTCCTTTCACTTAATTATATAAAGGCCAAAGCGAGTTACAGTAGTTGATTGAGAGATGGCAGGAGGAGGATTTGTTGCTCAAGGTGGAGGGTTCGGCTATGAAGGTCGTGTCACGACCTTTGTGGTGTGTACTTGTCTGATTGCTGCCACTGGTGGTCTCCTATTCGGTTATGACCTTGGAATCTCAGGTTCAGACGACTAAGATTGCCTGTTCTTGTCTTGTTATACTATCATTTTATGTTTTCCAAGATTCTGAAATATTGGTTTTTTTTTTTTTTTTGGAATCTCTGCAGGAGGGGTGACATCAATGGAGCCGTTTCTGAAGAAGTTCTTCCCGTCTGTTTTAGAAAAACAGAGTGATGCAGCCAAACACGAAAGCGAGTATTGCAAATTCGATAGCGAGCTGCTCACTCTGTTCACCTCTTCCCTCTACCTTGCTGCTTTGATCGCTTCCTTCTTTGCCTCAGTAGTAACAAGGATCTTTGGCCGAAAAATTTCCATGTTCATTGGAGGCCTTGCTTTTCTCATTGGTTCAATCTTAAATGGCATTGCCATGAACGTTGCACTTCTAATCATTGGCCGTTTGTTGCTTGGTGTAGGCGTTGGGTTTGCTAATCAGGTGAAAGTTCTTGCTTTGCTGGGTACTCCTTTATTTTGTCCTCTTTTCTATCTCAAAATACTGACAGTTGCATGACTTGTTTATCTACCAAAGTCTGTTCCAGTCTACTTATCCGAAATGGCACCTGCGAGGATTAGAGGAGCTTTGAACATTGCTTTCCAAATGGCCATTACAATTGGAATTCTAGTCGCAGGCCTTATTAACTACGGCACGGTAAAGATCGAGGGCGGATGGGGATGGAGAGTTTCTCTAGCTCTTGCAGCCGTTCCTGCCATAGTGATGACCGTCGGATCATTCATTCTACCGGACACTCCCAATTCTATTCTTGAGAGAGGCCATACCGACAAGGCAAGAAAAATGTTGCAAAAAATTCGCGGCACCCAACACGTTGATGCTGAGTTTCAAGACCTTATTGATGCCAGTGAAGCTGCCAAGAAGGTGGATCACTCATGGAGGAACATTCTCCAACCAAGATACAGGCCTCAACTTGTCCTCTGCATTCTCATTCCATTCTTCCAACAGCTTACCGGCATTAATGTCATCATGTTTTATGCACCTGTTCTCTTCAAGACATTAGGTTTTGGTGATGACGCGTCACTCATGTCTGCGGTTATCTCTGGCATTGTGAATGTCGTTGCCACAGTTGTTTCCATCTATTCAGTTGATAGGTTCGGAAGAAGGATTTTGTTCCTTGAAGGTGGCGTACAAATGATTATTAGCCAGGTAATTAATCCTTTTATCATCATATAAACTCCTCAAGACTCCTCTCTCAATTCTAACTTCTACCATTTTTTTGACAATGTGACTTTTTTTTTTCTCTCTATTTTGCTACAGATCGCAGTAGGAATCATGATTGCCGTGAAGTTTGGTATCAATGGCGATGGTGACTTGACAAGGGCCGATGCCAATTTGCTTTTGTTCTTGATCTGTGCATATGTTGCAGCATTCGCATGGTCTTGGGGACCACTGGGATGGTTGGTACCCAGTGAGATCTGTCCTCTAGAGATCCGATCAGCTGGACAAGCCATCAACGTTGCAGTAAACATGATCTTCACTTTTATCATTGCTCAAGTTTTCCTCGCCATGCTTTGCCACATGAAGTTTGGCCTCTTCTTTTTCTTCGCTGGCTTTGTTATAATCATGACTATCTTCATTCACTTCTTCTTGCCTGAGACAAAGAACGTCCCAATTGAAGAGATGAACAAAGTATGGAAGCAACACTGGTTCTGGGGAAAGTACATCCCAGATGAGGCTGTCATTGGTAAGAACCGCAAAGTTGAGCAAAGGGATGCTTGAAAGCAAGATCCAACACATGGACTTTAACAAATAGTTTACGTTAAGGTTCTGGTATAAAAAACAAGGAGAAATAGAAGAATGACAAAATGCAAAAGCTTTGTACCGATTATTACCTTTAATATGATATGCCAGAACTTTTACCATACTTTCAATCTTTCTGGAAACGATCCATCTTCTGACCAGATAATCGTGCTCCTCAATTAAATGTTCTAGTAAGTTTTTGGCGCACAAACACACGCACACTCGAGTAAAGAAGAATGTTAAGATAAACAAAAAAAAAAAAAGGAAAAACCAGCTTATTTCGTTATTCAGTACTTTTGTCTCGTAATCCCAACCATAACCCAGCACCAAACAGTAACGACAACCCTAAGTCTCACTGCCTCAGATCCTAGCCACCAAAAGAAAGAGGTTGGCATGCAATACGTGTTTGACAATTCCTGTAAAATATAAAAAATTATTATGTCACTTTCATTTTGGCGTCCCAAGTATATACCATATATTTTGATTTTTTTAAAATTTTAAATTGTATTTTTTTATATTTTTTAATATCATTTTCGAATTATATCCGAAATTATCAGATCAAAATCTACACCTCTAGACATAATGTACATAGAATCCTTGTATATATAGTTCTGATTCAATGAAAATGGAGCAACTACGACTACCCATATCCATAACTGGAATGTGTCTGAGACAAGTATTTCATTTGAAAAAAAAAGAAGAAAGATGGAGCAACATAGCTTTGAACTTCCCTCAATTATAAGTCAAGAAATTTCTAGGTATTTCATAGCTAAAAAATTATATAAGAAATATACAAACCCCGATACAAAAATTAATAACAATAAAAACCAGAAAAAGGATGGAGATGTGTCAAAAAAAAAATGGAGAAGATCTATTAAGCAACAGAAATTGTCTCCAAGAGAGCATCAAGATACTCTTCAAGCTTGGGCTTTGTAATCGCACCTTCTCTCCTGCTTTCTGCCACTTCCTGCCCATCCTTGAACAGAATCAAAGTTGGCAATCCGTAAACTTTGTACTCTTCAATCAGTTGTGGATTCGCATCATGATCAATTTTTACTACCTCTAGTCTCTCTCCATATTCCTAAATTTGATGACAACTTTTTTGAAAAAAAAGAAAAACCCTTCTAAGCAACTAGAAATGGATGATTAATTAGATGGAAAAAATGGAAAAACAAACACTTGAGCCATGGATTCCATGGCGGGAGAGATTAAGCGGCAAGGTCCACACCAAGTAGCAACGAACTCGACGAGAACCGGACGGTTGGATTCCAGCACCGTGCTTAGGAACTCGCTCTCTTTAATTTCCTTAATGCCTCCACCGCACCGTATCGAAAATTTAGGAATCGTAGAGGAAGTAAGCGATTGCTGGTTCCTTCGAAGGCCGTTAATGGAAAGAGCGAAACCGAAGCTTGCCATTGCGGAGTGGAGTTTAGATGGGGAAGTAATTGTGCGGACCGGTGGGAGACATGACAGGACCGCCAAAGACGAAGAACTTGAGAGAAGGGTGTCCATGTTGAGGGTTGGTTAAGGGTATTTGTGTGTGCTTGTGATGGAGAAATAAAGAGCCTGTGGCCCGGTCATACGAGTAATCATGAATATCACATTAACTATGTATTAAAATCTGATGATAAGATGTAAATATTTATATTATTTTTTTATTATGAGATATATTTTATGAGTTAAAATTATAAAATTTAATAAATAAAAATAAATAATATTTCATGAGTTATTGAGAATTTTGTGTTAAGACTGACTTAAGATACAAAAAAAAATCACCCCCAAGCAACGAGACCTGAAGTTTAAATCTCAACACATGATAATTACACTTTCGGTCTGCCCGGAGCACCCATTGTTTAATTTGTAGCCATTGCCCAAGGTTTCTCACGTAAATGCCACGTGATTCCTATCTTCTTTTTCTTTTTAGTTTTTTACGAAAGAAATCATGGGATAGAAAAATTATAATTGACCAAATTTTAATTTTAAATATGTGATGATATTAGATTAAATTTAATTTTTTTAAATAATACATAAAATTATAAATTTTTAAAATTTGATTTGAATTTGAATTGTTATTTTCTTGAAACCATGAATCAAATTTTATCAATTTGATTTAATTTATCGATTTTTAAATTTTAATTTTAGATATTATTTTAATATAATTTTTAATATATTTAAACAAATTTAAATATAAAATTTTAAATTTTAAAAAATATATAAAAATTAATAAAATATATAATTGAGTTTTTTTTTATTTTTTATTTTTTGTTTCAAAATTTGATCAAAACTTAATATATACATTTAATATTTAAATTTAATCTTACCAAATAAAAAAATTGATATGAATTTGAATATTATAATTTTGAATCAATTTTTTTTCCTCAACCCTAGAGACATCGTCCCATGTATTTTATTAACTGAAATATATCTTCAATTTACAAGACATTAGATCAAACTCAAGAGTAGCAATGACAACTCTCTCTCGTGAAGAACAAGAGAAGCTTCAACGCTGCCTAAAGAAAATAAAGGATCATCATCCTGAGAATGTAAAGCTCGAATCAGAAGCAAGTGGGCAAAAACTCTAATTGTCAAAGTGTTTGGGGGAAATGTTGGTTATCAATTCCTGATCTTCAAGCTACATCAAATCGCGAAAACACAAGGTAAATTCTTTGTCATCGGTCTAGGTTGTGACTACTTTTTGATTAAGTTCCAAAACCTGGATGACTACGATTATGTCATTAAAGGAGGGCCATGGTTTGTGGGTGCCCATTTCCTTGCTATAAGGAAATGGTCACCAAACTTTAAAGCCTTTGAAGCATCTTTTTCATTAGTGGCAGTATCGGCCAAACTTCTTGAATTACCTATTGAATATTATGATCCTGAGATTCTAACGAAGATAGGGAAGCATATTGGAGTTCTCCTCAGAGTCAACAGTCACACACTTGCAGAAGAAAAGTTTGCAAGGGTGTGTGTCCAAGTGAACCTTGATAAACTGTTAAAGAAGTTTGTAATGGTCGAAGGCAAAAGGCAGTTCATCATTTATGAACGGATCAGTATGCTTTGCTTCAAGTGTGGCAAGATTGGGCACAAAAAATAATTTTGCCCCGAAACTGCATTAACTACAAAATAAGCTCATCTGGAACATGTCGACTAGGCCATGCACAAGCCGCAAAACTTGCCCCAGAAAGTTGAAGAAAAAAAACCAGATTGTTATCGGCGTGGAAGCTGATCCAAAGGAAAAAGCCAAAAGAGAAAACAAAAAGTTGGCAAGAATCAGACTATCAATCAGAACCCTATTCCTATTAGCACAGATAAAGGAGGGGCTCAAGATAAGAAAGCACTGAACTTACCCCACAAAAAACATGAAACAGGAGGAAAAGACAACCATAGGCTGTTATGAGGACCGAAAGAAACGTCCCTTTCAACCTCGGACAGACCAACTGATAAACAAAAAGACAAGGCTCCTACGACCCGGGTAAAAAACAATCTTAACTGGCAGGTGAAAAAAGATCTTGTCGTTGACAATCAAAAGAGGTAGGGAAAGAAAACCCCACCAGAGGAATGCCACTCTGCAAATTAAAGAGAGTAGCAAAAGTCTAGGCAAGCACAAAGACTTGGGAGTGACCCTAAAAACCCCCAGAACTCTTTACATGAAAGCCAAAAGCCCCATGCATGTGAACATGCAAATTGACATGATGTGTCCTGTTGCTCCAAACCTTCAAACGTAGGCTTACGAGGGCAACAATTACAAAACTTCCCTACAACAACCCTAATCTGAATCCAAAGAATCAGAGGAAACCCAGACAAGCCAACAAGTCAACCCCATGGAACCACAGTCACTCCCAGATACCAGAGTTCAGAGGCTTCAATGCCAGCCAAAGAATGGGGGTATATCTGAACAGGCGAATGAGAAGAAAGAGTACAATAGGTGTATCACAGAACCTCCCCCCAAGCTGCTTCAAGTTCAGCTTTGGCATCTCTGAGCTACAACCAGACCCACTTCGACAACCCCTCAGTGAGATCAGAATGATGGAAGACTCCACAAATCAATTCCCCACGTGAGAGACTCTACCAGAGAGACAATTATGGAAGGGAGACCGACTCAACCAGCAGCCACAACAAGACTCTAGAACATTCCACCTCTCCTAATTTATCCTCCTCTTATTTTGCTTTACTGCACCAAACGACTCACTTCTACGAGACAATGGATCCTTCCAAATTTTTGGCATAAGAAAATACACAAATGTGGCCACAATGGACTGTAGAACTACCGACAGCCCCACTCCATCTAAGAACTCTAGAGATACACTGCAAAAGCACCCAAACCTCAGCAATGAAAATTATTATGGACGGGTCAATACACAATTTCAAGATGTATGTCTGCTCCCTGGTTATACAAGGAATCGAGAACCTGTTCGACAAAATAGAAGTGATACCAAAACTTGAAAGGGAGACAACCCAAGCTTGGAACATGAACCTGCTCACAACATTCCCAAACCGTCACATTCAACGTGATCCCATGTCGATTATTGTATGGAACTGTAAAGGGGCTCGGCACCCTGATTTTGTAAGGACGTTAAAGGACTTGGTTAACTTCCATCAACCTCTTATTATAGTGATTATTGAAACAAGAGTTCGTGGGCGAGATGTTCGGCATATTATTGACCGTCTTCCTTTCGACGCTTGGAAGGACAAAGAGACAATTGGATTTCAAGGCGGCATCTGGATGCTATGGAGTTTTGATCTGGTCACAGTCCACGAAATCTGCAACACTAAACAGGAAATTCATGCTTTTGTCAAGGTAAGAGCCTCTAACTCTTCTTGGTTATTTTTAGTTATATATGCTAGTCCTAGATTGAAAGAAAAAGAAATTCTCTGGGAAAACCTTAAGACTGTTGCCTTCAAACACTATTTACCTTGGTTAGTGGCAGGTGATCTTAATGAAGTCTTGACATTGGACGATAAGAAAGGGGGTGCACCCATCTCAATGACTAGATTAAGGAAGGTTCACTCATGTTTAAACCACTGTAACCTCATTGATACTGGTTTCAAAGGACCAAAATTCACATGGTCAAATTTGAGAAACGCCCATCAACTCATCCAGGAAAGAATAGATCATGTATTGGCCAACCCTGCCTGGAAACTTTCTCACCCCGCATTGATCTCCCATTTGCCTAGGGTCAGATCTGATAACTGCTCTGTCCTAATTACTTTTGGCGGAATCTTGGATTAAAAAAAAACTGTGATACATGAAAAATGTGATATCCAGGGTTTTTTGTTATTTTTCAAGTATCCAATATTCAAATTCACTCATTTTGGTTAGGAAAAATCTACGCATATTAATTCCTGTTAATTACCATAATCTTCTTGAATAATCCTGTAAAGTAACACCTTAAATAATCTTTTTATTTTGTTTTATAAATAGATCATTTAATAAATATCCTTTAATTTATAAAAAGATTATTTAAAGTGTTTTTTAATAAAAAATACTTATAAAAAATACTTTAAATAATCTTTTTATAAAAAAATAAAAATACTCCAAATTATAAAAATATAAAAGGATTATTTAAAATATTTTTGTATAGAAAATACCTTAAATAATCACTTTATTAAAATATAAAAATACTCTTATATTCTAACAATATAAAAAGACTATTTAAGACGTTTAGAAATAACTTAAATAATCCCTTTAAAAAAATTAAAAAAGGATTCTTTTTTATAAACGCTTTAAATAGTCTATTTATAAAAATATAAAAGATTATTTAAAGCTTTTCTATACAAAAAAATCTTAAATAATTCCCTTATTTAAATATAAATTGATTATTTAAGGTATTTTTTATATAGAAATACTTTAAATAATCTTCTTATTTAAATATAAAAATAATTATTTAAGGTATTTTTCATACAAAAATACCTTAAATAATCTTTTTATATAGAGAAAGCGCCCAAAATAATCCCTTTATTTAAATATATAAAGATCATTTAAGTCATTTTTCATACAAAAACACTTTAAATAATCTTTTTATAAAAATATACAATGATTATTTAAGGCATTTTTATACAAGAAACGTATTAAATAATTCTTTTATTTAAATATATAAGGATTATTTAAAGCATTTTTCATACAAAAATGCTTTAAATAATATATTTGTAAAAATTTACAAGGATTATTTAATGTATTTTTGTATAGAAAACGCTTTAAATAATCCTTTTATATTTTTATAAATGGATTATCTAAAATATTTTTGCATAGAAAATGCCTTAAATGATCAATTTAAAAGGTTCATTCAATGTTTTTGAACCTTGAAAAACCAAACGACTAATATAGTAAACAATAAAAAGCTTCATTGTGTGTAAACCCCTAAACCCATCAACTTATTTAGTTTGCCTTTTGGTTTCTTTATCATTCTCATCGTCGTCAATTGTCAATTACTCAACACTACCACACTTTTTTTTTACCAGTATGTACATATTTTTATTATTTTTGTGCTATTTATATTCTTCGATATAAGTATT